CACAGGGTCTCCCCACAAGACGAGATTTTGCGAGCAGAGCTTTTTCTTCGAGGTATATGTGTTGCTGAAAAACTAAGCTCCCAAGGCTTCAGGTCTAATTCTGCCATTTATTTCCTCTGGCCATTTCGGGTTGGACAGGCTCCCTTTCTGGAAACTTGGGCCCATTCCTTTCCAATTGTGCTTCTGTCCCTGTCCCGGCTCAGCCTTAAGTGGGTTTCCTCTGATCCATATACTGGCTTTCTCATCCTGGATGCTTTTGAGTAAAATTGTAAATAGGGATCGAGGCTGCTTTTTCATTTCCTATTCCATGGTATTTGTGAGAAGGACTTCTATATACTGCCAGAACACCCTCCCTAAATTTTACATAGAACTTCTCTCCAAGAAGCAGCCATTGGTTTTCCAAATTCTGCTAAAGCTGATTGGCAAACCATGGGAAATTCAGAAATCTGCTCTGCAAAACAGTCGTAAGTATGAGTCGCTGCCCTCTTCTCTTTTCTATCATGCTAAGTAGCCCATCTTTGTTTTCCTCTAGACTAAAACTCTCTTAAAGTAACAGTGAGCACAGTTTTCACTCAGCACTGAGCCTCTAGCAATGAGTATTTGTTGAATGGAATTTAAAACCAGCTTCATACACTCATTAGACTTAATCTGGCCTTTTAACACGGCCTGATTAATTGACGGACCTTGTCTTCCAAGTTTCTAATTTAGGGTACTCTTTGTATTTTTCAAGCCTGCCACTTCTAAAAATAGGAGGCTGAAGAACTCCATCCATCCCCAAAGTGGTTGAAGTGTTTGAATTCCAAGGTAAAAATGCACATTGCCTCATCGGCAGCCTGAGGGTAGATTTCTGTGTGGCTCTTCTCAATAAATTCGCCTTTGGAAAGATCACCTAGGATTATGCAGGAAAAGCTGCCCTTTCTCCTTAGCTAAAACTAAAACCTCTGGGCTTCATGAAACACAAGATGTCTCCCTTGCACGAGATATAGTGCAGCTGGACAGAACTCTCTGATGGGTTTTTTATCAAAAAATGCCCTTGCCTCCTTTGCATTCCCTGAAGCACTGGGTAGCTGCCAGTTTAATCAGAGTCTGTAGGCATCTGGTAAAGCTCGGGTTTGATTGCCTTGGTCAGGTTGGGTAGAAGCAGACCCAGGAATCACTCTTCCAGGCATGGTTTCTCTATTACTACCCATCCACTCTGTAAGTGTGTCCACTCTGTGAGTCCAATCATCTTGAAAATTACCCTCTATGTTTCCATTGCTCACATTACCTCAGCTAGTCAGTTTCGTAGCTACTTGGAATTTATGTAGAATATTTATTAAATTAAATCACACCGATGGGCCCCAGGATCCATGGACTTCAAATACATTTATAGTTGATCATTTGACTACGTTCTTTCCTGAAAGGGAAAAGAAACAGTCCAAAGGCTATCTCCTAGGAGTTTCCAGATTACGAAAAGGCAGATCTTGTCAACAATCCATGCTATTCATTGAACAGAGCTCTGTCTGGCCTTGAACGGGATGAAGAGCCGTAGAGAAAAGTGCTAGCCCTTGGTTACCAAAAAGTTAAGAAGTGTGACTTCAGCGCCTTGTTTGTTTGTCAAGACTAAGCATAAGCAGAGTAATTTTGGAGTTAATCATATTTGCAATCATATACAATATTTAGGCTTGCATTTGTGTTCACCATTACAATGCTTTGTTAATAAGAGGCTCTTGACCACGCCACTTTCCAGTGGAACTTTCTTCATGGATAAGTGAACTGCCTCAGGCAGACAGAGACTTATTTGAACCAGTTTGTTTCAGAATAAGAGAAAGTTTTAATGTCTTCATATCTTTTATCTTATGGACAACTTTCAAACATTTAAAATGTCCTGGGAACATGTCTAACACAATCCCTCTCAATTTAAAAACTCAAAAAACATGTGAGAACTTATTAATGGTGACGAAGCCCAAGGGAGGTTTTTAACTAAGTAAATGAGGCATAAAATTATAAAATTGTACAAGTATTTTCCAAGCAGACATATTATTACCTACATGCCATCCATCTACACATACTTCTCCTAGAAACTCCTGCAGGCTCTCGGAAAGGAACAGGACAAGTTTTATACTATAAAATCACAAAGAAGTCCCAGCTTGAGAAGATACACAGTAGAAGCAGAAAGCTATCACTTAGCAGTATGTTATATTCTATAATTTATCTTATTCTTTTATTGTATGGTGTATTATTAATCCTATGTTATCGTGGTCTCATTGACTAGATAATGTAGCATATGGACAGGGATGACATATAATACCCTTTTTAAGGCAAACAGTGAAATATATTATCTCATGGAACCAAATGCTGAAACTAGAGTTATGAATCCTCTCAGTCTGTCTCCCTTCACTTTTTATTCTCTCCTTTTCCCTTTGTGTCTTTCTCTGCGTGCCCGTCCCCTTCTCTTTGGCGCTAAATGTGGCTGCTCCAACTCTCAGGTTCACATCTCAGCTTAGACACAAGAACAGAACTGAATCAAATACTAATTTTTGTATCTGTTGTAAAAATGCAACACCATGTTCCACTGCCCCACTAAGAGTCACTGCAGCTTGAAAGGCTTTAGTCCATAGATGAAATGTCAAAACAAACATCTTGAGTATTTAAAAATATATGTGAAAGAGATTTTCTTGGTTAACACATTCAAATAAAATATGAATTTCAGGAATAATACAGTAATGAGGCAAATGAAATTCCATATACTTCAGGTGGAAATGTAAAGGGGTGTTAACCACTTTAGATAACAGGCCTGCAGTTTCCTATAAAGTTAAACATACATTTACCATATAATCCAACTTTTCCACTCCTAGGTATTTATCCGAGGGAAATAAGACCATCAACTCACAGAAATATATGTACACCAATACTCACAGAAATTTTATATGTAATAGCTCAAAACCGGTAACAACCCAAATGTCCATCAAGAGGTAAATGGATAAACAAACTGTGGTATGTCCATACAATAAAAAGGAATGAACTGTTCATACATACTACAACATGGATGATTCTCAAAATTATTATCCTCCATGAAGGAAGTTAACCAGACGAGAGTACATATGGTGTGATTCTATGTATGTGACGATATAGAAAGCAAACTAACCTATACTGACAGAAAGCAGATCAATGGCTACCTGTAGAAGCTGTGGGGCGAGGAAGAGTAGGAGGGCGAGATTCTAAAGACCTATGACCTATACATCGGGAACTGCGATACCCTGTGGAGAGAAAGTTAAAAAGACCTAAGTAAATGGAGAGATATACCATTTTCATGAATGAGAAGATTCAATATTAAGATGTCACTTCTTCCCACATTGATCTACAGATTCAATGTAAACCCAGTCAAAACAGCTTTATTTTTGTAGAAATTGAAAAGCTAATTCTAAAGTTTCTATGGAAATTCAGAGGATCTAAAATAGCCCCCTGATATCACTTCTCAGCCTTTTGGCTAAGATCAAGTGTAATATCTGTTCTTATCAGTTTAAAATAGCCTCCTGATAAAATCTGAAACAGAAAAATCAAGTTGGAGGACTTACATTACCTGTTTTTCAGCCTGTAAATCTACATTAATCATCACAGAATGGCGTTGGCAAAAGATAGAGATGTAGATCAATAGGATAGAACTGGGAGTCCAATACTAGACAAACTCATATTGGGTCAATGTTTTGTAACAAAAATGTCAAGGTATTTCAATGGGGAAAGGATATTTTTATCAACAAATGGTGCTAAAACAATTAGATAGTCACAATTTAAAAGATTAAACTTGACTCTTACTTTCAATAATATAGAAATATTAACTCAAAATGGATTGTAGACCTAAATGTAAGTGCTAAAACTATAACCCTTCTGAAAGAACATATGAGAAAATCTTTGTGAACTTCAGCTAAACAAAGATATCCTAGATTGGACCACAGAAATCTGCAAATGATAAAAAAATTTAAAAAATACATTGGAGTCCACCAAAATTAAAAAGATTTGCTCATGAAAAAACAGCTTTAAGAAAATGAAAAGGCAAGCCACAGACTAGAGGAAAATATTGCCAAAAAGATGTATCTGACTAAAGAACCTACACAAAATACATAAAAATATTTATATCTCGACAATGAAACGATAAACAAAAAAATAAGCAAAATATTTTAACAGATGTGTCACAAAGGATATATGTATGTGATAGACAAGCACAGAAAAAGATGCTCAATGTCATTAATCATTAGGGTAATCCAAATAAAACCACAATAAGACACTAAAACAAACCCATTAGAACAGCAAACATTTAAAAAACTAACCAAACCAAAGGGTGGCAAGGATATGGAGCAACAGGAGCTCATACACATTGCTGGTGGGAATGCAAAATTATACAAATAACTTATGTAGTTAAATATAGATATACTTACCAGATATCCCACCAATTCTACTCTTTGCTTTTATTCAAGAGAAATAACACAATCCACCCCAAAACTTGCACAAGTGTTTATAGAAGATTTATTTATAATAGCCCCAAACTGGAAACCACCCAAATTTCCATTAACTAGAAATATTTTTAATCAGACCTAATTTTGAAAAGCAAACAAACATGTTCAGACCTGATTGGAAAGCCTACAATCACATATTTTTCTCTGTGTTTATAATCATACCCAAATGTCTTAACTGTCAATTAAAAAGTTTTGATTTTTTTTTTTTACCAGAATTTAGAAGACACTCCTCTAGGTACCATTAATACCACTCTTAGAAAAGGGGAGGGCAATGAGGCTGCCATTTTGGGTTTTACTGTTCTCCGTCATCACCATACACACAGCATAAAGCGAACAGCAGCTTTAAGCACGGCCTCCAAGCCAATGCCATTTTGTTTCTGTAACCAGGCTTTCCCGTGTTTCTCTCTCCATGTCTCGATGGGAGGGAAACTTTTCAAGTGGACACCCATGCCCTGGACTCGACAGAGACACCCCCCGCCTACTTGACAAGGTTTGAGTCACCAGTACCTCATGTCCTCATTTGGGCACCGCAGCTCGGCAGCATTTTCAGAATCATCTTGAGGAGAAGCCAACTAGAAGAAAACATGAGAACTAGTTAGGAAGCAAGCCTTTCCTTTGATGTGTGTTCGTCTGAAAGTCCAGTATCTGATGTGGGCAGATTTCCATCTTCTAACACACACACACACACACACACACACACACACACACACACATGGCCTTTAATACAACCCTGTTGTTTGAACAAAAAAACTTTCATCTTTAGCTGATCCAATGATGGAAAGCTACTTGGCACGGACTTAATAAAACCTTCGTATAAAAGCAGCCCAGTGCCAGAGCTTCCATATAGAGCGTAACTTGAGGACCTATGCTGATCCTGGAAGAGCCGTCTGGCTTCTAGAAGAGGCCAGTAAAAAGAAGGGAGTGATAAGGCTAAATGGGGAATGCTAACGGGGGAGCTGTAAGCATGCCTTCACATTTTGTTTCGGATTTCAACTTTCACATACGCCCACTTATGATTGGGCTGCTCGGTGTCACAATGAATTCTTGAGATATCCAGAACTGCTTTTTTTTTTTTCTTCAGAAAAAAGGTATATTTGGGCTACAAAAGGATGAAAACTAGTAACACATGAAAAAGCGATAGAACCTACGAACTTAATAGTTTGTATTAACTGAATCTAACAGAAGCACAATTCAAATCCTTTGATTATCCAAATTTTTCATTTTATCAGTAAAATTCAAACCATTTTCTATGTAGTATTTAAGAGGAAAACATAAATGTCTTTTCTTTAAGTCCAACCAAAGGGAGGAAAAAAACATTAATTTCTGGGAAAACACACACGCACACAGGAAACTTGCTTTTGAACAACTGAGAATCAGGTCCCTGTTCATTTTCTCTAAAGAGCAGGCAGCACACAGCCTCGCCTTTCTCCCTGTGCCCTACGTCTAGCCTAGAGGAAGACCAACGGACTCCATTTGGGAAAGCTCTTGCATTCCACACAGCCCTTGTTCAAGTCTCCCTTTATGAAGAAAAGGCACTACCAACTGAAGAGATCCTTGTCATGACCTCACCCCGAAGTAGAGGTGGTCCCCTAATAGCCTGCGGAGCAGCAGGGTTTGACCTAGTCACTACCTCAGTTATTGAGTGTCCTTCAGAAATAAAATATTCAGGAGAAGGCATTCGGGATCTCGAGCTCAGTGATGTGAGAGGCTCCCGCGTGGCAGGAAGACTCAGTCACAGAGTGCCAAGTAGATGAGGCAACGCACAAACTAGGTCACAGGAGAGATGGAAGTTTTCAGTTACCTAGCGGGAAATGAGTAAGTAAAATGAAAGTGCGGAAGACGCAATGGCCGTAAAGGTTTACTAGATATTGTGCCTACTCAGAAGCAGAAATGCACTGAAATGCCCCCTCTAATCTTGTTGACGCAAAGGTGAAAAATAACTTATTGTTCCTGTTTCTAGAGCTACATCCTAAATCTCATCAGGGGGCTGGAAGTTATGAATATTTGGGTTTTTAGCATAGCAAAAGCCTAATTTATGAATGTCCCTTAACTCCTAGGATCCACAAAGCCCTGCCCAGCTAGACTTTGGAGCACAAGAAAAAATACACCTTTTATAATATGTTTGAGGCACTGGCTGAGTGGCTCAGTTGGTTAAGAGCTCACTCAAGAGTTCGAGCTCTGAGCAACAGTGGTTCAAGTCCTGGCCTGAGCTGAGCTGATGCTGAGCTGCCAACAGGTGGCAGTATGGCTCAGCTAAAACAATTAAAAAAATATATATATATATATACATATATATATATATATACATATATATATAATATGTTTGTACCAATTTAAATATGCTCAAGGAAATAACACACTCATCTTGGTAGGAACGCTTCTTTGAATTCATGAAATCACTGAATTAAATTTTTTTAGCAGTGAAATTTTATAACTTTTCTATACCTAAAATAATTGGAGTTAGGCTAACGACATGTTGCTTGCTCAAGTGGCATTCGGGGAACCTATTTTGTGAATGCAGACAATAATTTTAATTAGACATATCAACTATTTTCACTTAGGTTGCTGCTGTAATTTGTGTGGAAAAGTTTTTTCACTCAAATTGCTTTAAAATTCTATTTGCAATCTTTTCAAAAGGCACAAATTTATTTCACAAGCTGTTTGTCCTCACCCTGAGAACTTTAACTATGTGAGTTCCTATCCAGTGAATCATCAATTATAAATTAAGGCATTCTAAATTTTCCTGAAGTGACAACTATCATGCGTATATTCCATGTACTTTAAGTTTTGTACCTTGACTGCATACAGCTGGAACCTACATTAAATTATCACCTTCCCTGATCACTTCATCTAATGTGTTCAAGCCTCCTTAGTTTCAACACTCCTAATCTCCCTTCCCAGTTACTTTTCTCTTTAATATTTATCATTATCTAACATACTATAGAGTTCACTTTTTTCTTATTTGTTTGTTTGTCTCCCACTCTTGACTACAAACTTCATGAGGGAAACATTCTTTGTGTGTTCAGTTATAATCCTATCACCTGGAATCGTGCCAGGAACATATTTGCTCAATAAATAACTGAATAAATGAGATGTGTCTGAGTTTTGACATCCTTTCATATAGAACACAGACACTGATTTGAGGAATTAAAGGTATACTTGGTTTACCCACTACCCACCATATTTCACGGAGCTAAGAGAGAGGCTCAGACAGCCAGCAAACCTGGTTTCTTCCTTCCCTGAGGATACCGCCCAACTGGGTAAATAAAAAATGATGACCATTACAGAAGAGGAAAAAGTGGCTGACTACCCTTGAAGGTGAGAGATTGTTGAGGAATATCTCCATGGAAACCTTCATGTGAGCTAAATCTGGAAGAAAGGGTCTGACAACATTCCATGGCAGGTCCAAACTAAAACATGTCTCACCCTCAGGGACACCACCAGAAATAGTTGAGGGTTATGTAGCTTTTCACATGCTATTCATTAAGTGGCCCAATATGCATAAAATTTGTTCAGTCCCATCCTTAATTTAATCCCATAATCTAGTCAGCTGTATTGCTTCTTTCCCAAACCCATCTCCCATAATTGAATCACCTTCTGCAGTTACTGAGAGAACTGTGAGCAAGAGTACATACACAAGATCTAAGGGCTTCTGTCTTAAATTCCTTGAAAACTTTAACAAATAAATTTAAAATATCATAAACCCTTCTCTCCACAAATCTGAAACTCTGATTTTTTAAACAAGCTTTTTTTATTACTTTTGTGAAGATGATAACTTTCCCCTCCCTGTTTGGTTTCCAACATGACAAAACTTCACCAAACGGAAAAGCCACAGCACCGTTTTAAATTTCTAAGAAAGAACCAGGGAGACAACAGGCAGAGACCTTCCTCTAACCTGAACTGTCTCAAAAAACCAAAGATGCTACCAGCAGACTCGGAATGAACCTCTGCAAACTGGTGGTGAAGCCCATCCCGCTGGCCATGCTCATAGGCCTCAACCTAGGGCGAGGAACTTTGTCCAGTCTCTAAAAATCAGTCACGGATGACGTGTGCCTTCTGCAAGATTCAAGCAGTGTGACCACACTTCATAAGAACGCCTCAAAGGGTATTTTCCTGGTACCCAGAAAGCAACCATTTATTTTCCAAAAATAAGAACAAGGCGTAATGTCCTGACACGGTTTCACTGGCTCTGAGCCTCTCTCCGTCGATACCTAAAGATGGACGTGAGATGCACGGGGAGCTGGAATGACTCCAGGTCTGTCTGTATTGATCGTGGGGACTCAGAGCAGCTCTTCTGCCATGGGGCAACCATTATGAGAACAGACAGGAAAATATTTGAGGTTTATAAGAGCTAAAACTTCTTTTAATGTTTGCTTATTGTGGGACTGATTAAGTAATGCTATTAACCCTGTGTACACCAAACCAACCACCCAATCAACCAAACAAACAAATAATAAAGCCCTGTGAGGACTAAGAATTTGACAAAGAATTTTTTTTTTTTTAGCTGAACCATCCTGCCACCTGTTGGCAGCTCAGCAGCTGCTCAGCTCAGGCCGGGAATCGAACTGCTGTTGCTCAGAGCTCAAACTCTTGAGCGAGCTCTTAACCAACTGAGCCACTCAGCCAGCCAGGGCTAAGAATTTGGATCAATAATCTAGGGCTTTGACAAATGTATCTCAGAGTAAAAAAAAAAAATGACAGCAGCTATTCACCCTGGTTAAAATCATGGAAGAATTTAGTCCTGGCCAAAGATAGCACAGACTGCAAAACGGAGTCTCAGGCAAATCTCTGTGTCCTGTGGGATTCCTGAAGTCACAGGAAGTGTTCCCTGGAACCCACTGAGGGTTCCACAGCGCCGGTTCCATAGGCTCTGAGCTTTCTCAGTAAAGGGAGCAGTAATGTCCCAAATCACCTTGTGTGTCCTGGGTCCAGGTAAGTTTGGACTTAAGAGAGAATAATTATGGGTGTGATGTATCTCAAAAGTGTAAGCTGCTCTGTTTTTGTTTGTCTGGTTTTTGTTTTTCAACTCTGTGTGTGCACCACACACATACACACATACGTACAAACCTAGAAGAGTTTTCATCATCTCCTTGTTGTTTGTTCCTCAACACTAGGCTGTGATGTCAGGTGGTTTACATGAAGAAGTGGGTGTCATGGAAGTCGGTGGCACAGGTGTCTGTATGTTTCTTCAAACCACACAGCTTGCCTGACACATAGTGAGAAGCTGTTTAGCGTATGATGAGACGCTCTGAGGTGGCCATACAGGATTGGGTCATTTCTAATATTCTAGTAGATGTAACAGTGTGAAGGTTCAGGGTAGTCCAGTTTACAGAAAACATTTCACTCTGTCCTGAAACCCCTTGAGGAGGAGACAGTCTACCAGATATCTCACTATTCCACCCGGCATCCATTCGACCTGTGTTCACAGAATTCTTCACCCAGTGAGTCTTTTGCTAGGAATTGAGAGAAAAAAAGAGGGAGAGAACAAGAAACTCTCTTTTTTCTTGACTATAAACCTGGATCCAACGGGGCTTGGAGTTACTTGTCATCTTTCCATCTCATGGAATGTAAG